ACACACTTCTTGATATCAATAAATTTGAATGATGAGTTTAGACTTCAGAGGGAGAAGAGTAAAGCCTACTTCTTTGTGGGGAATAAAAAATTTAATGATGAGAGAGAAAGAGGAAATAAAAAATTTTAATGATGAGAGAGAGAGAGAATCGTTTCATTTGGGGGCAAATAATTTGAGTGTGAATGTGAATGAGAGAGTGTCCTTTTGGGCACTGAATTTGATTGATGTTGGGTTTGAGGATTAAAAAGAAGCGCAAATAAAGACGATATTGCTGGTGCTGGTGCTGGTGCTGGTGTTGGTTTTTGTGGTCGAATAATTTTGAGTGGTGATAGAATCTTTGCCCTTTTTATGGACACTCACTCTCTTGCCTGCCTCTCTTATCTTTGTCTGCATCATGAACCGAAACTACGAGAATACCCCCTTTCATCTCTCTCTCTCTCTTTGAAACTACGGGAAATGCCACCTCTCTCTCTCTCTCTCTTTGTTGTCAGGTGCTCCTATTTTGCTCAATCATGGAGGCTCAAGCAACCCTTTGGTCCCATGAAAAGTATTTACATAGGGGTGACAATGGGTCGGGTCATGCTTGGGTTGACCTAATTCTCGACCCGCACTTGACCCCACTTGAGTCCAGGGTTTGGATCCAGACCCGGTCTAGATTGGGTCACCCAATTTCCAGACGTCGAGTCCACATGACCCAATTTCCAGCCCGCCCTGTCTCCTTCTCTCATGCTACTTTACGCATCTGTCTCTCCGTACATCAAAATTAGGGACGTCCACCGATCAGCATTATAAAGAGCAAATCTCAACCCTGATCTTGAATGCAAAAGTGCATAGAAAATGACTTGGATATAATATTCAAAATAAAATCATAGAAAAAGATTTCAATATAGGATGAAGTTTCTTTAGCGCCTACGGGTTTTGGCAAAATTTTAAGTTGATTACCTACTTAACACAACCATGCTTTTTTTACCCCGGCATGGTATGGGTTAAGGAAAAGTTTAAGGTCATCAATCTTTTTAAACCAAGGGCCTAGGCTTTATGAAAACAAAATAAAGCCTCATCTCAAATCCTCATCCGGAAAGCATTTTCGGCATTATAAATATTTATGATGGCTTTAAAATTAATTTCCAACATCGACAACAAATTTTGAAACTCAAAAAATGGTACAAATCTTATGGACATGCGAACACTTATTTTTAGGGCGAAATGACTGATGTAGATGATTTGTTGTAATATACACTTACCAGGAAACTCAACAACTAAGGCTATTTTCCTACATACATAATTAATTGAGAAGTTTAGGAAAAAGAGAAAAGGCTTCTACATGGTCTTTATTGATTTGGAGAAAGCTTATAATAAAGTACCTCGAGAGTTAATTTGGCGGGTGTTAGAAAACAAAGGAGTCGCCAAATACTACATCGACTTAGTGAGAGAATAAGCGATAAGATGCGAGAGAATAGACTTAGGTGGGCTAGCCATGTATGCTGCCGACTAAGCGCAACACCGGTTAGGAGGTGAAAGTTAGTTCAAGTGGAATGACTGAAAAGGGCAAGGGAATGACTGAAAAGGGCAAGTGGAATGACTGAAAAGTTCAAGTGGAATGACTGAAAAGGGCAAGTGGAATGACTGAAAATGACTGAATGACCCAAAAGGATGTGGTTGAAAATAATCCGAAAAGATATGGGGACTTATACCCTCACTGAGAGTATGGCTTTTAATAAGGCAGAATGGTGGAGCAGGATTCGTCTAACCGACCTTAATTAATTGGAAAGAGTCTATAATGATGATGATGATAATACATTATTTTTAGAATTTAAAATCCTAATTTTTTTGCACAACCATAATGTTCAAGGTGAGATGATCGATTTAGAAGTTTTTCAACACTTAAATTACAATTTTTGATGAGTTATGGGGGTGATGATTTACATATTTTTAATAGGTTGCAGCACTACGAAACCATTTTCCTTCAATATAATATCCCAAATAAATACTGGTAGATTTCATTTGAAGGTTTTCTCTCTGTTATGTAAAACAAGAAAAAGAGCTCATAATCTGCAACCAAAATAAAAGATGCAAATGCACAATTGTAAAATATGCAATTACTGTCCAACTTTGAGATATGAGATCTAATCGACAGTTTCCTTTCGCTTTCATGTGGGACATTCTGGCAACAAATATCACCATCGAAAATATTCCAAGGCATTGTTTGTCACTTATTATGAAGTATTCGGGATGTCCCCATAGTCATAGAAAAGCTATGGTCATAGTTTATTTTATTAATGTCCATTAATAATTTTATTAATATAATTTTTATACTTTTCCTTAATAAAATGTTATTGTCAAAAAGCTTTTAAGGAAATTATAAATAGTATCTCATTTGTTTTTTTAAGTTATTAAAAACAAACTCCAAATTTTTCAAAACCTCATCCATACCCCTTTTCACTTTTTTTTTTATGAAAATACCATTTACGGTAGTCTTAAGTTTGTGAAGGCATCATGGTTAACCCAGAATTGTGATAGTTAAAGAGGGTTCAAATGCTATTAGTGTTGGGCTTAAGTTATCACAATTCTATTAGGACAGTGACAATGGGGCAACATTAGAACCGTCATATACTTACATAACCGTGATGATCACCTTGACTATCGCGCATCGCGAACCACCATGACACCATTCACGAAAATCTCTCACTCGTCTATCACAGTTTAATTAAAACCATGATAGTTGAATAACCCATCACGGTGCTTCAAATATTGTGATGCTTCAAAAACTATTACGCTCTAACCATGATGACTTAAACCCAATACACAGTCACTTAGAACCCAATGTCACTATCATGGTTTTAGGTTAATCGTGATGCTTTCATAGACCTTAGTCTACTATGAAAGGTATTTTTGTAAAAAGATACAAATAGTGGTGAAAATAGGTATGAATGAGGTTTAAAATTTTTGAGGTTTATTTCTATTAATCTAAAAAAAGAGATATTTTTGATAATTTTTCAAAATTTTATTAATGTCTATCTCAATCCATGATGTGAGAGAGAATGGATGCAAACATTACAAGACCCCAAATTTAAGACCCAATTTCCCCCATCGCCGTAAATCTGTCAATTAGATGGTGATCTATCAATTTTCCATAATCAAAGTTAAATGGTCACATTGTATAAAATCTTTTAATATTTTACTTATGATTTTTTATTTAAACTTTAAAACTCATCAAAATGTACGTGATGAGTTAGAATAGTTTAAAAAACAAACAAAATTACAAATAGTTATAAATTTTAATATATCTTTTATAAGTGTCCCTGTATTAATATGCATAGGGGTGGCAATGGGCTGGTTGGCCTGGCCTTGGCCCAGTCACGTTGGCTCTAAATAACTAGGGCCTTGGGCTACAAATTATGTTTCAAGGGCTGAGAAAAACAAAAAAATAGGCCATAAAATGTAGCATGCTACGGCTTGAGCCATGGCTGACTGGCCCGGCCCTCTTTTTCTCAGATTTTCATTTATATTCTTTAAATTTGTTGGGACCGGCCCGGCCCGCCATGATAGAGCTAGGCCTGAGCCGGCCGGCTCTATGGAGACTGGGGCCGGGCTAGGTCCTGGGTCGTTGCCAGCAGTAAATATGTCAAAATGCTCCCACACAAAGGGGACACAGAGAGGTTATAAATGAACCGCTCAGATTTGACGATGGAACATTCAACGCGTAATCATTCGAGAGATTCCCACGTGGACATCCCAACCGTCCGACACCCTCGATCACATCATTGGTACTGCTTTTGAGATTACTTCAGATATTTCCTGAAACACACTCGGGCATTTTAGTCTGTTGTAAAAGTCGCGGACCATCGCCACCCATGGCCTTCCTTTCCTTTCCTTTCCTTCAAAGCAATCGCCTCTCTCTCTACTCTCTAGTAATAGCCTTCTCTCTCTAATGGTTGCTCCTCTCTCTCTCTAGAAATCGCCTCTCTCTCTCTCCCTCTATTAATCCCCCCCCCTCCTCTCGTTATCGTTCTCTCTCTCTCTCTAGACCGGCGAGCGTCACTCTTTCTCTCTCTTCCCTCACTACGGCGTTTAACAGGTCCAAAACTAACTGAATGACACTGAATTTTCTGGCTTATCAGTGATCACTTTCGAGCTTCGAATTTTCAACTCTAAAAGTGTGAGAATTCTGGGTTCTAAGCAGCAAGTGGCTGCTTATTTTCTTTTTCCGGTGACTGGAAATATTCCGGCGTAAATTGAAACAGATAAAAAGCTTCTAATTCGCATGCGAGATCGTCGGAATGGAGTGCGACTGCATCCAAAGTTTGAGGCCCCGTATTCAGTTTCTCTGCAAATGTATTACAGGGTTTTGAATCTGCAGCTTTCTTGCTCTCATGTCGTAAAAAGAGACCCTCAAGCTCATCAAAGCGAATTGAGGTTTTAAGAATCCTCAAGCTCCTCAAATCTCTGTAAGAAAAAAACGAGCTGGTTTTTCTTGGTTTTGAGAATCCTCAAGATCCTCAATTCTTTGTGAAAGAAAACAAGCTGGTTTTTCTTTTCCTCTGTCGTCTAGATTGACCTGAATATTTGGGTTTTCAAGAATCGCTGATCAAATATCTTAAAAGGAAGTTCACGTTTTAATTTCTTTCTAGCTTTCAAAGAAACTTTCAAGAACCTTGCATTTAGGAAAAGAAACCTTCAACAGCCTTCCTTTTTAGGAATGCATCAGTTTTCCTTTCTTTTTTGGGTGGACGAGAAGAAAACCACCAGGTGGGACATCAAATCTCTGTGAATTTGCTCTTCGGTTTCCTTCTTTGCATTTGAAGTGACCAGGGTTGGGTTCTTGAGATTCTTGAAGCTCATCAAATCTCTGTAGTGAATTTGGTCGGGTTTTCTTTTACTCTATGGCATTAGTTTCTCTGTGAGGAGTACCCTGCATTTCTTGGCTGTAACTGAGAAATCCGGCTTGGGTTTGATTGTTGGAGAAGTTGGTTTTTAGGGTTTTGAGGATTGAAGTCGAAATGGGTAGCAGGAAAGCAAGGTGGACGATCTCTCTGAGGTTTCGGCCATTGAAGTTTGGGCGACAATGGCCATCGGAGTTCCTGTGCCCTATCTCCATGGCTCCAATGGCTGACCCAGTCATTGTTTCTTCTGGCCAGACCTTTGAGAGGAGATGCATCGAGGCCTACAAGGAAATGGGAGCCATGGCCATGACCTCCACTCAATTAGACGTTTCAGCCCTTATCCCTAATCTTGCCCTCAAAACTGCCATTTCCAACTGGTGTGATGAATGGGGCTTGAAGAAGCCTAGTACCCCTGATCCCAAAACTTCGAAGGAGCTTGTGCAGGCGTTCGTTGCTCTGCAACGAAGCCCCAAGAATGGAACCAAAGTCTTTGAGGGAAAGCCGGAAGAAATCAACGATGAAACCCAAGTTGCAGAGGAAAATCTAAACCCCAAGGATGAAACTAAAGTTGCAGAGGACGAAAAACCTAGCCCCAATTTTGGAACCAGATATGCAACAGAGAAAAAACCAGGATTCGATCAGGAAACCAGAGTTGGAATACAGGAAAAGCCTAGCTTGACGGATGAAATTCGAGCTAAAACAGATGGAACACTGTGCCCCGAGTACAAAAACGATGTCGGAGAGGAGGTAAAAAGAGGAGAACATAAGGATCAAACCAGAGTTGCAGTGGAAAAACCAGAGGAAGAGCGAGATGAAACCCGAACCTCAGAGAAGAAACCAGTAGAAGAAAAAATGGAAGACGAGAAGAGAGTTGCTGAGGAGAAACCATTAGAAGAAGAAATGGAGGATGAGAAGATCTTGAAAGGGGTACAAGAGAAACCACCCATTAAATTCTCTTATGCCGCCACAGAAGTAGGCAGGCGAAACCGACACCTCCATAGCTCCAGCTCCGAATCCATGGCCATGGCCACCCCTCTACAACTCTCCACCAAACCAACCTGCTACTCCTCTTCCTCATCTTCTATCTCCTCCGAAGCCATGGACGAAGTCGGAGGCTTACCGGAGGTCCTGGACACCCTCATAAGAGGACTCCGCCACCCGCGGGTCATCGACCAAGAAGCAGCTGTTGCCGAGCTCCGCCAAATCTCTCGCAACGGCAGCCATGACTGTCGTCTTTCCCTCTGCACTTCGTCTATGTTAGTAGCCCTCCGTACTTTGTTAACAAGTCGCAATACAAGAGTTCAAGTCGATGCCATAGCCACCCTTGTGAACCTTTCACTCGAACGTGAAAACAAGGTGCGTATTGTACGGTCGGGCGTGGTACCCCCACTTGTGGATGTGCTCAAGGCCGGTTGCCCTGAGGCTCAAGACCATGCTGCTGGTGCCCTCTTTAGTCTTTCACTGGTCGACGACAATAAGACCGCAATTGGCGTTCTTGGCGCTGTTCCACCACTCGTCCACCTGCTTTTGAGTGATGGAAATGCCCGTCGTGGCCGACTTGATGCTGCAATGGCTTTGTACCATTTGATGCTCGTGCGAAGCAATGTTGGGCGGTTGGTGCGGTCAGGTGCAATGTCCCGCATGCTCACGCTCACATGTACCTGTTCCGACCCTGAGCTTACAGAGCGAGCATTACTGATTCTATGCAATGTGGCTGCAACTTCAGATGGCAGGACTGCGATGCTGGATGCCGACGCTGTCTCCGCACTGGCAGGGTTAATGGGCAGGAGCAGTGTGCAGGTGGTTCAGGAGCACTGTGTGGGGGTATTGTATTTGCTATCGAGGAATGAGTTGCGGTTTAAGGGGGCAGCAGTGGCAAACGGGGTGGCGGAGAGGCTGGCGGAGGCCATCGAGAAGGGGGGAGAAAGGGCTAGGGAAAAGGCGGGGAGGTTGTTGAATATGATGAAGGGGTGGTCGGAGGATGATGATGATGATGCATGTTCAGAGTCTGTGATCCCAGGGCGGAGGCGCCGGCTCAAGATGGTGTTGCTCTCTGGGCCGAATTCCACTGAATTCTGATATTTTTTAATGTTTTTGGGTCTCTTTAGGTGAGCAAGGATTTTATAGATGAATGGGTGGAGTGCATTTGGGAGAAAGGATGTGGATTAGGGTATTGGGTTGTATATGATCTGTGAATGTACCTATTTTTGTTTTTGCAGAGAATGATGGTTCTGCTTGCTTCAGGACCTGTTTGTAAGTAGGGACAGACTTGTTTGGTGAAGGAAATTCTACTTTTGCTTTGAATGAGTTTGGGTTACTTCGGATGAGCTTGACATCAATCAGGACTAAATTTAAGTGAACTTATTGGACATCTTGGTTTTAGTTTGGAAAACTATGAACATCCCTGGGTCCAAACAACCTTTTACAAACTCTTTAGAGAGACTCGAAACACATTAATCAATGGAAGGATCATCCCCTTCTCATTCTTCTTTGCTCCTGTCTAAGGTTTCGTCCACTCTCACTGAAGCAGTGAAAAAAAGGATCATATAATGCTCTGTCATGCTCCATGTAGAATTCATCGATCTAGGTCGGGTGCATCTCTTTCTCTCTCTCTCTGGAGGCTGTCGGGTTCCTTCTGTACCGATGCAATGCTCTTAATCAAAGGGCCCTCCCTAAAATTAACAAAGAGAAGTAGAGAGGGAGACACCGCACTACATTAAATTGATCATCAGCACGGCCCGGCTAATGTCAACAAACACAAACTAATAACCAGGGCAAGGCTGACGACAAGACAAGTCCAAAATAATGAATGCATCCATTCAACCAGCTTAAATCCATACAAAATTGCTTGGAATCTGTTTCTATTTACTGCAGCTTCTGAAATTCTCACATAATTTACGACAAAAAATATAATGTTTTTACTTTTTACTTTTTCCACATACTGCAAAAACTCTGCAAATGAAACAACAGATGATATACAAAAAGTAGAAAAGGAATAAAAATGGCATGGCTTTTCTCAGCAGGCCTTCCTCTTATCCACTTTGAGGTGTAGATTAAACCATTTCTTCTTCTTTGGTCTATCCTTGAACGAGGGCTTCGATTCTTTGGCCGGATCTCCCTCTTCTCCTTCACTCTCCTTGAGAGAGGGAGCCCTGATCCTACTACTACTTGAACTCCTTTTCAATGATGGCGCAGCTGTGTATGAGGAGTGGATAGAATCCCGCTCCTTAAGAAGCTCATCAATCTGCATGAGAAGAAACAAGCACCAAGGAAATAAATGTAAAATTTGCTAATCCACTGAAGCCGTCAAGACTGATTTACACAATGTACAGTTTGGAATCTAAAATCAGCAATTCACACTCACTTCTTGCATTTCACGAGCATATCTAGCGGTCATTTCGGTAAATTGGGCCAAGACCTGCATCAATAATCACAAATAACAACTTGAATACAATAACTAGAATTCCACAAGCAAACTCTCTCTCTCTCTCTCT